AACGAAATTAATGAGAAACTATGAATTTTCCTTAGGTCTAAGTTAATAGAAACTTTATTACAGTGACGAACCGCATGCAGCCATCGTCTGACTGACTACAATTGCCAGCAACTTCGAATCGCTAACTACTAGACAACCAGTCCTAACAGGTTAAAAGCGCTTGAAACTACCAATCGCAGAGTCGCGAATTTGGTAAGGAAAGGTACTGAAAAAATTGGGTGAATGAAGCTAAATTTTTTCCTTCAAACGTTTACGGTAAATAATAAAAGACATACATTCAACGCAAAATCTAAAGTTGCACATAATGAGGGAAATATCATACGTCCACTTAGTTACATTGTATGTACATGCTTACTGCCTTGTTCAAGAACACAAAAGTTAACACGTCGGAAATAAAGAAATTGGTTTTTTAGCAAACTTGTGTAGGAAAGAGGCAACGCCAACATTTAAGTGAAGCAAAATTTAAAAAATTGAGTATGTGAAAGAAAGACAAACTAGCATATGACTGTGAAGTTAAAAATAGATGGGGAAACTCTTGTTGTTGTTGTAGCGGCTACAACTCTGTCTGCACATGCTTAGCTTGCTAATAATGCAATGCACTATTATCGCTAAAAACTTTGTTGCAAAGTACAAAATACATAAGTTTAAAATATATCATTCGAGGTTATGTTTAAAATAAAATATGCCAATGCATGAGTTTAGTCATCAGTTCGCCTATTTGCCAAAGCAAATAAGAAAAACGAAGAAACGAGCTGGTTATAGTAAGAACTGCCTGCGACCGGTGTGTTCTTCTAGATAAGAAAAAATCTCTCTCGCCGGCGCACATGTGAAGCTTTGATCGCAATACTGCAGCTAACAGCTGGAGATAATCTGGTTTCGCATGTATATGCATACATAACATCGAGTATACCACATATGTTAAAATAAGTATGCATGTATGGATATACATATGTAAGTATGTATGGACAGTTTGGCTTAATTTTTAATAGCACAGTAAAAATAAATTACAATTGTGCAACCTACTATTCTACCCCCTTTAATTAAAAGTTTTGTATTTTATGTATGTGCACATGTATGTATGTAAATAGTTTATTCAAACAAAAAAATTAAACATTATTTTCGGGATTCCGATATAGTACTTTACCATTGTTGTCAGCAATTTCATCTGCGGTGTTAATATTTTCGATGGGCGCAACAGCCAAAGGTGTGGTAACAGGCGATGTTTGCATTGGAGAATCAGCTGGTGTTTCGGTGGCTGCTCCTGGCGGTACCGCTGGTAAGGCAGCAGCTGAGGCAGTGGCATTCAAAGCATTTATAGAGCCACCTGAGCCAGCAGAATCTGGGGTTGTGGCGGGAGTAGCACTGCCTGACGCTGGCAGCGATGCTGCATCCATAGGGACAACGTTTGGTGTGTTACTTCCTGGCGCTACTACAGTTGCCGCCGATACTGCCGCACTAGCAGCAACGCTACTGTAACCGTAACTGGGAACAAATTCAACAGCGTTTACATTGAGTGTTGAAAATTTAGTTGCCATCTCCGTATTATCTTGCGCCATCTTAGTATGTAATTTCCTGATTTTTGTTTTTAAAAGACTTTGCAATTGATGAACCCCCTTACAAAAATATGTTTTATGATGAGTACGTCAACCGTGCTGCTTTTTTGATAGCGACACAATTCCGCCTCCACCACGTTTATCTTCAAATTTCAAGCACTACCACTACGCGAAAGGCGGAGCCACATACGGTTTTTGTTTTTCTTTTGTTTCCCACTGAAGTATTTACGTCCTTAAATGTTTTTCTTGAACTCCAGTTGATATTTTCCAATGTTCCGAAATTTCTGTGCGTTCACTACTTGTACCTCGATAAATCACGTTTTTCTTTCTCACTTCTGCCAACCTAGCTCTTTCTTAACGATCTTTTCAATGACAAACTTCTCAAAAGTAGGGTTTAAAACAAAGTGAAGTGAAGTAAAACGTAATGATTATTGTGCCTGCGATTATTGTGGTTTATTCGCATTACAATTTAGGCATGCAAAATCACAAACCTCTGCGGTATCACGAAATCAGTTAAAATGGCCACGCATATATGGAAAATTTACCTGTTCAGTTGTTGCAAATTTTCTTGGAACGTTCGGTATATGGAACATACCTGCAAAGCCATAGGGTAATTCTTATATTTATTTAATTCTAAAAAAATTAAAATCATTTTCAAATACATACAGAACATTAAGCGTTATTTAACGGCTTTTACTCGTTTACTGGGCTTTTGTGGAATTCAGAATATCGAAAAGATACCTAGGATGAACTTTTTTACTATTCTTTACGTTACTGGCCGTCTTCACATGCTTGGAAATCTCAAGCGAGCTCAATGCAATGGTATACAGACGGCTCTAAAACTCCCGACGGTATTGGGGCAGGCGTTTACGGGCCAAGGCTAAAGCTTTCGGTATCCGTGGGCATATACCCAAGCATATTTCAAGCGGAAGTATATGCCATAAGTCTGTGTGCAGAGATTAACCTGCGTAGGAACTATCGTAATGAAAGTATTTTGATCATGAGTGACAGCCAGACAGCACTCAAGGCCCTCTTATCATTTGAGGTCAAATCCTCTCTGGTTCTTTAGTGTATTGATAAGCTCAACACCCTGGCGGAGTACAACGATATCCAATTAACTTGGGTGCCAGGTCTCGTAGGAGTTGTTGGCAATGAGGAAGCGGACCGACTAGCTAGGAAGGCAGCCGCCTCGTCGCCTATAGGGCCTGAGCCCTTCATAGCGATTGGACCTAGTACAATCAAGGAAGAGCTCAGAAAGGAGAGGAACACAGTAAGGAATCAGCACTGGCGTAACACGTTAGGCCTACGTCAGACTAAAAGCCTACTGGGAGGTTACAACCTTACAAGTTATAGAGCAATAATATTGACAGGCTTTCTGACGGCTCACTGTAGACTGAGAGGTCACCTGCACAGGTTGGAGATCTGGTCTAACGACCTATGTCGGTTCTGCGATATGACTGAGCAGACCCCCTGCATCTGCTTCGCGAATGCGAGCTTCTGTGTGCTAAAATGTTAATCTACAATGGAATTAAAAATGGAAAATGGGTCTTCAGAAGCTAGTTAGTTACATTGTTTTCTTGAAGACGACATGCTGATAATGAAATTGCTTCTCAAATTGAATTGAAGCAATGTGTGTGAGGAAATTAAAAGGCAAAACTGATTGTGTGTCGTCAGCGTTCATTAAATTTTTTTCAATTTGTTTTGAAAGGTTTTAAACAACGAGAACGAAAGCATAGCGAATACATTTTCGATGTTCGCATTATGAGAGTACAAGATGTACTGACGAAATAAATTGATCGCGTTTTGAAAGTGCCACACGCTCAATATTTATTGACAATATTGCGAACCGCGATCCAGATTTCAAAAGTTTTAGAAATTCTGCGATATGGATCACCGATCCATCAATACTGCATACTACACCGTCAATAAATATCGTGATACTTGGATCACGTCAATAAATACATGAACCAAAAATACAAGATCACGTAAGAACGCGACGTTGTATTTGTAACTGGTTTTGAGAAAAAAGTTTGCGAAAGCGGGTTCGTCAGCTGAGCGTTTTTTTACATCACAAGCACCACTATTTTACACTTTTATTTAAGTAAAGAAGAGTTAATTCAACATGACAACACATTTTCAAGCATTTTATTGCATCATTTTACCTAAATTGTGCGCTTAAAGTGGCTGACAATAATTTTGGCTAATTTTGGTTTTCGTTGTTTTCTTTGCTTTGTTTACTTTTCGCTTGTTTTCCAGTGAAACAAGATGGCGTAGAACCCGCTAAAAAATCGACTTCTTTCACTCTCTTGTTCTTACGTGATCTTGTGTCTTTCGTTCATGGAATAAATACTGACCGTGTGACAGTGCCCTTTCCGTTTGAATGTAACCGGCCGTCTTCACATGCTTGCAAATCTCGCTTGCGTTTGCTTTTTTCTCTCGCAAGCGAGACAGAGTTTGGTGACTGGGCACTTGACAGCTTTTTCATTTGTAAAATGGGCTCTAATTCTAAAAAACTTAAAACTTTTCTAATAATAATAAATTGGCAACACCAAGCACCCCCATGTTACCTTCTGAAAGGCTTAAAAAAAAAAAATTTCCGCCGTCGGGTCTTTAACATTGGCAATAATTCGCATGTTTTGATGCCCCTTTCGGCCAATTTGATATAATTTTCGGTGGGCCCGCTAAAGTGTTTTTTTACTTAATTTATATGAAGCATCCCACAATAGCGAGGTGCTAGCGCCGAGCAAATGGAATTTTAATTTTTGACAGGGCGTTACGTATTGAATTAGGATGTAGAAGACGAGAAAAATGGGCGCTGACAGTCGGCATATAAGGCCCTGTCTCCACAGGAAAGCACTGATGTCGTGATAACCATGTCACAAAATATATTTCCAATGGAGACCGCTTATTTTTCATGGGCTGCAATATATGTCAGCGCTTATTGCTTGACATCTAATGCAGGCAATTTGATAGTTTGACAGCCATATTTTCATTTGAAAGAAAGCGTGCTGGTGGTAGCATCGATGAAATTTTGATATTAAACAAAAATAAGAATCTGTTCTCTATTGGATTATTTGTGATTACGTTTTAGGAAATTATTCAGCAAGTGTTTTTTTTAATTTAAATGTTTTTAAACACCGAAATTGAGAGAATGTTGTCTGGTGGCCTCATGCGGCAAATAATTATTTCAAGCCATCAAAGTGCCCACACACAAAAACTTGGAATCATATTGCTCGTTAAAATGACAGTTGGTAGGCCATCGGTTTTTGCCTATGAAGTTCTGCGGTGGTATTTTGAACGTGTAGTTGCAGCGTAATGGAGACAGCAAGTAAATTGCTGCAGTAAAAAGGGTGGCAAGAACTTGTAATTCACGATAGGTGCCGCTCCGTTTCGTTCAGTTAAATTTTCGTTAACCGATGAAAACGGACGTGCCTTCGTAGCATTTTCGGGACGCCATTTTATATCTGTTCTTTGAAGAGGAAGTGAGCTCAGAGAAAACGCGCTTTTCAGAAATTTTTTAATTAAATAAGGGCTCTTTTATAAGGAAATAAAAAATGAGTGGAGGTGGAAATAATGCTGCACGACCGCCGCCAAGAATTGAGGGCATGATATCGCTGAAGGTGAGATAAAAATGTGAAAGGCTATGCAATACTTATGGATGTATGCATTACATCTAATTGTACATGTATTTGGTGGAGCTCCTGAAATTGAAAATTCTTTTACTTGTGTTAATTTTTTCAGGTTGATAATTTAACATATCGCACTACGCCCGAGGACTTGAGGCGTGTATTTGAGCGATGTGGCGAGGTTGGTGACATTTACATCCCTCGCGACCGATATACCCGTGAAAGCCGTGGTTTCGCTTTTGTTAGGTAAGCTTGAACCGAATATGAGTAGAGATAAAAGAGGCACTGTGTCGTGCAACGTCAATGCCTTCTTTTTATTGAGGACAACGATTCTAACCTCAAATTTTTCATCAGACACTTGCGCTCTGTATACAGTCAGTCAATAAAGTTTAGGTACAGCGAAGTTTTTGCAATATGGCCATCTGTTTTTTAAATATTTTATTTTTCGCTAATTTTTTTATAAAAATATGGTTGATTCTACATCAAAACCCGCAGAAATCGGAGTTCCAAACCTTGTGCAGAATTAAAGAAAATTCTGCAAATAATCATTCAAATATTGCACTTTTTATTCACACTCTTTAGAAAAAAAATTTAGTATGCAGCTTTTCAGCGCATTCAATGTTACTATGAGCGTGTGTGAATCGGTAACAAAGTTCGCGGCAAGTAAATTTTTGACAAGTTTGAGGTGAATAAAATTTCAGTAGCCCATAGGGCTAGTGAAATTTTTGACAAATGCATAGAAAATTTTGACAATTGCAAAGATTGCTGCTGTGTGTAATCTTTCGTAAAATAAAAGGTTAAGTTGATGAACTGCAATCAATGATGGTAGATGTTTTCTTAAAATATTAATTTCACTCAATTTGTAATACTTTATTGCGCATAAATCTGCGGTTATGAAAAATTTACTGCTGTCAAAAAAGATTTCATTTCACACAGCAGATTGGCAAAACTGTCTCACCATAGTAAAAATATTATTCAACAGCTTTCCCCATATAACTTTGCTACCGATTCACACACGCCCTATAATGAAGTGCAAGTTTGAGGTAGCTAGGAGTTACCATTGATTTTTGCAAATTTTTTTTGTTGAAACTGCCGCTCATTTTCTCCATAAAATAATTTGCGATAATTTTTTTATATGGAAAAAATGAGCGACACCCTCAACAAAAAATGTGCCCAAAATCAATGGTAAATCCCAGCTTCCACAGACTTGCACTTCATTGTACTAAAATTGAATGGGCTAAAGAACTGCGTTCTCAAATTTTTTCTTAAGAGTGTATAACAAAAGTGCAATATTTGAATGAAAATTTGCAGAATTTTCTTTAATTTTGAACAAGGTTTGGAATTCTGATTTTTTGGGTTTCTGTCGTAAAATTAATCATATTAAAAAAAAATAGCGGAAAATAAAATAGTTAATAAATAAGTAGCCCGTATTGCAAAACAACTCTGTACATAAAATTTACTGATTGACTGTATGTATTTTCATGGTTTCCTTCACACCACTAGGAATCCATAATTAGGGATGCAAATACATAATATACAGTATCGGTCATATCTAAAGCACGCCATTTCAAAGTGATATTGTGTGCCACTTATGTTTATTTATTTATTTTTAAGAATTTTCAATTAAAATACAGTTTTTTCTCTAAGAAAACTCATATAAACCCAAGTTTAAAAACTTATAGAACCCTACAAAAAAGTGCAACAAATTTTGACCTAAATTTCAAACTTTTTTCTCGGAAGTGTTTGAATTTTTCTGAATACACAGTTTTATAGCCCAATCAATTTAAGTCTGATAATGTGCAAGTTTCGAGTGGCTAAAAGTTACCGCTGATTTTTTAGAATTTTTTTCGCCAAGGATGTTGCGGTTTTCTTCCATATACAAATAAATTGAATTTATTCATTATATGGAAGCCAATGCGAAAAAAAAAATTCTAAAAAATTAACGGTAATTCGTAGCCACTTGAAATTTGCACATTATCAGACTTAAATTGCAGGGGCTAAAAAACTGTGTACTCAAAAAAATTCTATCACTTCTGAGAAAAAAGTTTGAAATTTAGGTGAAAATTTGTTACACTTTTTTATAGTTTTCTACAAATTGTTGAACTTGGGTATAAATGGGGTTTGTACGAGAATGAACAAAATTTTAATTGAAAATTCTTAAAAATAAATAAATAAACATAAGTGGCACACATTATCACTTTGAAATGGCGTGCTATAGATATGACCGATACTGTAAGTTTTCACTTTGCAACCGCTGGATTTCATTTAGCCACCTCAGTTGAGAACGTGAACTATCGAAAACATCGATAGTGGCATAATATACATACTTTAAATAAATGATAAGAATTATGGTGCCATAAGGAAAAATTTTACTTGCTTTCCTAATTTATTGAATAATATGGTATTTTGCATTTTGTTAGTTAGGGTAAACTGAAATCAGTTATTCTATGAACAAAATGCATATATGAAATGTATTCACTTTGCAACTGCTGTCTACGAATATATCCTAGTCAGTTTACGTACGAATACCACATTTTTACTATTAGTTATGATTTATGTGCTTTCTATCTTTATCTGGTATTAAATATTTTCATCTTTTGGTGTTTTGTTTTCAAACAAAAATGTTACCTTATAGCCAGTTTCGAACAAACAGTTAGAACAGTGCAATGGGAAGGCAACATTTTTTGTAGAAAAGAAAGCTCCACATTGGACATTTGACAAAACAACTTAAGTCTGTTTTTCACGAACATACTAAATAGCATATATCGAAAAAATATATTTTATCGTCAAAGAGAAAAATGTTGCAATTCGAAAGAAATGTTAAATTATTTTATCGCTATTTACAACATTTAAAAATTTTTCTGTTTGCAACAACAGCTTGTTTTAATTTAAATAAAATTGATTGCTCTGATGGTAAAAATAGCTTTGTCGTTATATGCTATTTTCTTTGTCCGTCAAAGATAGACTTAAGTTGCTTTGTCGAATGTCCACAGAAATGTAAATACATCAGTGACGAACAAAAGTATTGCCACAGAGAATTTTTCGCGCTGTATGCAAGGTTTTTATTCTAATTTCTTTTCGCTAATATTTTATAAAAATATAGTTCATACTAGTACAAAAAAAAAAAAAAAAAAATCTAAACTGTGCAAAACTCAGGAAAATTTAATAAATGTGTTCGTCACTGCATGTTAAATTCATATTTACTTCCGAGTGCATTTGAGCTAAGTTCGCTTTGAATTCAAATTGGCAGGGGTTGAAATTCACTCGGAAGTGAACCTACCTGCATGTATTTATTTACATAACATTAAGTTTGTAATTAAAACCGTAAGTTGACGAAGTTAATGAATTTATAATATAATAATTTTTATTTAAATTCTTGTATTGCTTTCAGATTTTATGATAAACGTGATGCAGAGGACGCATTAGAGGCCATGGATGGTCGAATGCTTGATGGCAGGGAGTTGCGTGTTCAGATGGCTCGCTATGGTCGACCAAATTCTCCGACACGTCGCACCAATAATAGACGTGGCGGCGGAGGTGGTAGACGTCGTTCGCGTTCACCTGTACGTAGGCGCTCCCGTAGCCCCCGTCGTCGTTCGTATTCACCTAGATCCAGATCTCGTTCGGCGGCAGGTAGTCGTTCACCTGTTCGACGCAGCAAGTTTTCACGCAGTCCAGTTGGTCGTAAATCTTTGAGCCGTAGCCAAAGTCGCAACGGTATAGCTGCTCGTAGTGCGTCACGCAGTCGAAGCCGGTCCTAAAGATGACAACTTATCACTGCGACAAATCATTGATATCTTTAATCAGAGGTACGTTGGTTCCCGTAAATCATTTATTCTATATTCATTAAATTTTTTTTGTAGAAATCAAAAAAATGGACCAGTATGCATTGAAATTTATTCATATGGTTGATTAGTGGCGTTTTCATAAACAAACATGAGTATTTCGAGTTTAGTGCTGCTAACTAAACAGGTATAACAATTTAATATATAAATTGTAGCACTTCAAAATATGAAAACATTCGAAACGGAAAAATGTGAAAGATAAGATTACCAGGAAACTCAAACTTGCTCTTTATTTAATATCCATTCACATTTGCCCTAATTTCAGAGTATGTTAAATTATACCTATATGAGCCCATAACATTTTTCCTACATTTCCAACTAATGTTTAAAATGAATTTTACCATTTTTCACATGAAGTGTGTTGCCTGCCGTATTAAAACACATTTATGATAACCCCGAATATAATATTATTATTTAGATTATTGGTACAATTTTATGGCAAACTCATTCAAAAATATCGATAATTCAATTTTAGAAAAGCCATTTTAATTTAGTTTCGTTTAATTAGAAATCAATAGTTTTATATACTTAGTCTGCAAAGAAGTTTAAGGAATGAATTTATAACTAAAAAATTCTGTTTCCAAAATTATCTACTCGTGTGTATTAACATCTGAAAAGTAATATGAACGTATTTTAAGTTAAAAAAAAAAATAATAATAAATGTAATCCAAATATTTTAACTCGTTCAGCGTATAGGGAAAGTAAGGATGTCAGTCAGTTTTTTACAACTACATTAGATTTACATATGAATTACACAACACTTAATCCAAATGTTTGCATAATTAAGTTGCTAAGATTTTGTGTAATTTTTATGAAGTTAACACTTTTAAAACCCATTATGATTGCATGGCGGTAATATATTTTTTACACTTCTATATAACGCAGGCAAAAACAAAGATTGCTGTAAGGGCTGCTGTAAGAGTGCGAAAGAGGTTAAGGCAGACACAGTAAAATGAATTGCATATATAAAATAAATAATGGGGAGGAGAGTGCAAGAGCAGGAGGCAGAGATTCATAAATTCATTGGTGACTGCTGCGTAGCGAAATTAGGATATACGTACTCCTGCTACTCTTATTGCCGCTACAGCTGCTGTTTGCTGTTGCTCCAGCGTTACATTTGTACAACACATGAGTTGCTGCATTAACAAATTTGCTCCAAACGTGTGCCTAACACTTCGATTGGATTTCTCGTGTATAGTATAAAATAAGAGAAACGCAATCTAAGTATTAAGCTCACGATAATTTGTTGTTCGAGTTCGCATCCTGTAGATTCAAATGTTGCTGTTCACTGACAATAATGTTGCTGCCTCTGTGCTGCTGCGTCAATCCCGTTTTTAATGGTATAACGTAGACGAAAGATCCAGCAATAGTGCACTTTTTACTTGATTTTGAATAACTATGCAAAAACCTGCTACGGACAGTACTTTAATTTGTATGTCTATAAAAGGCGTTCGCCGATTGAAGGTTTCATTGTACTCATGCGCAGCAGTTGAAGCGGTATACCTGTATTTTTATCAAAAAGTTCAACGAACTAGAGAAGAAATCGGACAAGTAATTGAAAGCAGTACAGCGGCAGGCTTAAATGCGTAGTGCGCATAACTGTTGCAAGCAGCTGTAGGCGGTAGCTGTATGTTGCTGCTATATGCTGTTGATTTACTTCAGTACGCTTCATCGTACGTTGTTCGACTTCGTATGGGTGGTGTTAGTAGATAACCTTCTGCTGTTGGTGGTATGCGGTTGCGAGTTCTAAGTAGTTGCTGTTCCTCCGAAAGGTTTTATTTCTTCAAGTTTGCAGCACAGGTAAATCGGTGAAGTTTCGTTTATCTTCCGAAGACGAACTGCGTTTCAATGGGCATATATGGTTACAGGGAATCCAAAAGGCTTTGGAGATTGTGTTACAGGTAGGTGGTTGTGAATTTACGAAATAATTACATCTTGTTTCAGGTCAGCGCTTTTTGAATTTTATAATTTGAAGCTTTAAAAATAAAAATAAAATATGCAGGTTTAAAAAACTGCTTTTCATTTGAACATAATGTGGCAAAAATTTTCTTTAAATTGTAATGAATGGTGGAAAGGTAGTAGGGCAATAAGTAGATTCGACTGTCGTGGGGACTCTGAATACATTAGGCGAAGTGTAAGAACTCGCGAACGGCAGGATTTTTTACTTGGGGGTGCATCACGATATTTGGCATTCAATAGATCTTGGGTGCGTTCAGAAATGCATCAAGCCAAAGCATCAGTCTCTTACTTCTAAATTATAATTGATGCAAATTCCTTATTTACGCAACGTATGTTCCAATTAGGCATTTAACCGTGGTTGCGCATATTGCATATTTCCATCAATTACAGGGCTTGTTCGAGTTGCAATCGCAACCGCAGTGTTGCGCGAATTATTAAAGTATCACGATCTGTGTGAATTTCTAGCAATGTATTATCAGTTGGGCAGTTGCAACAATGTTGCCATTTTTCATCAGTACAGCAGTAATGCCGCTTTTATTACGTGCTTCGAACAGGCCCACAGTTTAGAAATAAATACGTCTGATGCTCTTTGGCTTGATGCATTTCTGAACACACCCCTTATGAGAACTTTACTGCAGGGCAGATATGTAGATGATAGTCTTCGAAATCGGAACCTCCCTGATGTACATGTGAGCAGTTTATTTTGAAAGTGGCTCATTTCATACCGTTTGACTTCAGTGATCACTTACCTGTATCTGTACGCGTGACTTGTTCGTTCAACTTCATCAACCAAAGGTTGAACATTTTTTCTTTGGGTTATGACGGTAGAACGATTTACAGAGGCTTTCAGTTATATGTAACTAACGCATTTTGGTACAAGCGGTGGAAATGACTGCGACTTTCAAAATAAACGGCTCATATGTATGTATGGATATATTCGAGTTGTAATTAATGCGGTAGTGTTACTTTTTATGAAGGAGCATCACGTTCTACGCGAAAATTTGGGCAACTCTGTCTACATCACGCGTTCGAGGAACAAAATTTTGACAATGAGTTGGTTATCATTGGCAAATCAAAAGCATTATACAGATTTTGACTACACAATTTCTGCAGCATTTCAGAATATTTTGAGTTGAGTATCAGCAACAAGGCTGCAATATTGGTCCCCTTTCGCAAGTTTCCTTGGCGTACCGATGGTTAAGCTTGGCGACGGCGAATGATATAAAGATATGAAAGAAATCCTACAATAATTAACTCCCAGGGAGTAATATTTTTCCCGAAAATTTGGGAGGAGGAAATCCGAACTTCGAGAGAGCTGTTTGACACGCTTTTGACAGCTCAACTTCGCCATTTAATATAAAAAATCCTCGGGGAATTTTTATTCATGATAGGAGGAAAGGGAAAAGAGAAACCCCCCAGGGAGTTTCTGTCCAGAATCGGCCTGATAATATCCGATTCAGGCAGTACTTAGTAGTGCCGCTACAGTGACAAACTGACTAAAGTATATGAAGTTTGGTTTTTGCAAATCAAAAGAGGTTGGTAATAAAACATCAGTCGCTAAAGTTTAGCTTTTAACCTATATTGTAACGAGAACACCATCGCTTTATGGCCACGAAATGTGTATTCCGCAATATTATTTTTTTCGATCACCTTGGTTTTTTTATTTTGTTGACCAATTGGTCGTTCTTATTTATTTAATTTCCATGGTTATATTTATTTATTGCTTAGTAAGCAAAGGCATTTACTGTCAACAAACCAGATCCAATTTTAAACTCAATAATAATTTTTTTTTTTATAATCCATATTTTTTATATAAATTCTAATAACGGAAGTTAAAAAAATAAATGGCGTGCACTACTAACATAAAGCCAAAAATTAAAGTACGCGTGCGGAATGTCTGGTATGAACCAGATTTGTCTCCCGAGGGCATTTATCTTTGTCCCATGCCTCAGCCACCGCCAGTGCCAAAAGGTGTATTATGGTTTACAAACTTGAAGCCACACGAAAGACTATTCTATCATCAGACCTTGAATTCCGTGCGAAAAAGTAAACGTTTCATTGCAACACCAGAAATACCACGCGATTCATTGGATTTCCAGTTGCAAGCGCGTTACGATCATTCCCGTGAAGTATTTCCTGAGCGTGTAGATACATTGTTGCAGCGAGAAACATGTCCTTACCAAAGGATTGAAGGCTGTGGACCTGATAGTATAGTCGAACTGGCAACCTTTCGTGTATTAAAAAATGTTAAGGCAGTGGAGTTGCCTTCAAGTGACCAGCAAGATCATCCTTTGAAAATTGGTGGTATGAAAGAGAAGATTTCACCACATAGTGTTAAATTGATCAATAGTGGCGTGCATACTCAACTGGTGAACAACGGATTTTCAAGACAGACAGGAGATGGAAATTTCTTTCGTTATTAGCAATTATCATTACTGTATCATGTACCATGGACGTATTAAAGAATTTATTAAGGTAATGCAAATAGATTTCACCTTCTTGTAGTTCTAAAGATGGCCACATTGTAATTAAAATTCAAATACAGAAGCTATCCAAGTTAACCTACAATATTTTTTATTGTATTTCCGATCAATAAAAATATAACTAAATAAATCAAATGTCGGATCACGCTTCTAGTTTTGGTTGTTTGCTCTTACTTTGTTCTTCATCGCTCTTTTCAGAAGGTGTGCAATTTATATGGTCTCTTTGCTTTTGTTTTTTGTTTTGATTACGATGACTCTTTGCTACCTTGTCTTGGCCAATCCTGTTAGAAAATAATTGCCAAAAATTTTGATTTCAATTTAGTTTTAAAGTACACATGTATGTACATAAATAATAATTGATACACACATTATAGTCGCCCTTGTGCCCGGTCCCCAATGTGCGGTTGGATTTGCTTGGAAACGTGTTAATGCATTGCGTCGGCTGTTGGGGTTTGCCTCAGGATGTATGTCGTCAAAAATATACTCTTTCTCAGGCTCTCGTTCCAATATAGCTTTAAGCGGTGTGCCCTCAACCATACGATCAGATTTTACTGGATGCCTTTTGGCCCAACATCGCAAAATATCCCACAGGACTGCTGCGGGTGCATCGGTTTTAATTGAATTTTTGCAGGCATGTGAAAACGAAACACGGTGGCCTGCATGTAAAAGCGCGGAGCGAAATTTGAGCACCGGTATATTTTCCAACTTTAGTACACAGCAAAGTTTATCTAATACATAGTATAAAGGGACGTCGTGTAGTTCTTCATGCACCACAGATAAGACACCTTGCAAGCGCTTTTGTGTGCCCAAGTCAGAAAGCGGCTTTTGCTCTATTGTTTGCAGTAATTCGTTCACGAAGTCCTTGTCATGTATGGGGTTAGACCAAAGTGGGCCGCCCATCTGCAGTGAATATAAAATGCAATTTAATTAAAAAGGGTCACGATCTTGTTAAATCTACATACATGATGCTTATGCCCACAGTGGGCGCAGTTCGTGCCGATGTATGGTCCTGTGGGAATTCCAAATTTCGTTTGAGTCTGGCCTTTGTCTGTGGTATTGGTTTTTACATTGCCCATCGGCTGCAGAGTAAATGTATCACAACCGGTACATTGGAAGATTACCGACTGCTTGCTGTATAAAAATTTAAATTATTTACAAACTGGTATTAATCGTCGTATTCGCATATCCACTATGCTAACTAACCTCATACTATATTTACACTTTGCTTGACTGCTATGCACCCTTACAAAGACCCGTACATAAAAATCGGCCGAAATGCTTAAAAGCGGTTCAATGTATTTTCCATAGCGATTTGCATGCGTCTCTATACTATGTAGCAGTATGCGTAAAGCCATTTCATGGCAGCATTTCATGCGCAACGGTACAGATCCATATTTGGCATAGCATGCTTCGGGTGTGTTTCCAGCTAGAACTGCCATATCCGTTGCTGTTACCAGCAGTAATCCGCCGTTGGTTATTGATTGTACAGCTCCATCTAGGAAACGATTTGGACACCCGTACGGATCCAGATCTATAGCATCAAAGCGCTTATGATTAGATGTAGATAGATACATTAGAGTCCTGTAAAAATTAGATAGTTAAAAGTTATTTCTAGAGGTACTTTACTTATGCTACATGGCATCCGATTGGCTTGGTTCGATTAAATTTTCAACGCCATTGTGCCGTACATTTTCAAGTATGGAATCAACTGCCGCCTTGGAAAGGTCATTGGCGATAATTTCACGAACTCCAGCGATTTCTTTTGCATATCGAATACTACGCAAACCCGTTGCAGAAAGTGCTTCCAATATGCGAATGCCATTTTCGTATTTGACTCCGGCGGTGTAGAGCGCATTTTCTCCGTTCACCGCGTCACCTGTAGCATTTTCTCCTGATTCTTTTGAAATTGTATGCGCTTCTTTTTTTCTTTCTTTGAGCAGGCGTCTTGCAAATACATTGAGTACAGCAATGCTTAAATCACGATTAAACTCCTGCACCGGATTGTAGAAGACGCTGCCGCCAGCAACAATTTCAGCGCTGCGCTCCTTTATTACGCGCCCAGGTGCACTAACACTGTTCGCTGGAGGATCTAATGTGTCCTGCTGAATTAAAAAATGTTTAGGCTACACATAACCGAAAGATTTACATCAAATATATACCGCTTTTGTATCAGATATAACTTCCAACTCCATCTTTTGCTTAATTTGCTTTGCGTACACGTTTTTGTAATCAGCTGGTGGTAGGTGGGAAAAGTTGCGTTGCCATTTCCGGCGGATCAGAAATTTAGGAAAACTGGAAAAGGATGCTGTTTGCTTTAGCATAACAGTTGCGATTCTTCCTCATAAAATTTGCTTAATTTCATTTCTACTTCCCGTTTTGTTTAAAAGGAGTTCACACGAGGCGATTTGCCAGGCAAATCTAGAGGCGATTAGTTGCATCAAAAGTTGGCAGCCCCCCCAACTTCATTCAGTGATTTGGGGAAATGTTTAGATATTTG